TCACACTTTCGTGGTCTCGATCTAACCTATTTACTCTTCTTACTTTCGTAACAAAGGTTTTATTTTTAAGCATAAAAAGTTATAACCAGAGTTAAGTTGATTAAAGTTTTAGCCTAAGTTTGATCAGATGCCTAATGTCTCTTACTATCCCATACCGACACTAAAGGTTTAGCTAGCCATATAAATTATAATGAACGTACTGGAAATAAAAAAAAACAAATATAGATTGGACATTATAAATAATAAATTAAACATGCATTAATTAATTAAAAGGTATGTAATACAATTGCAAAATAGAAACCTGAAAATAAAGCCAATACTTCAATCCCTCTTCCACAAATCGGAAACTCGGACTTGGTATCGGTAATATGACAAATTCTGAGGCTTGAATAATAAATCCTAAACTATAATAATAATTCCCTGATGTTGGAAATTATTATTTGGGCAATGAAATTAAAAGAACGGAAATAAATGAATGCAGAAAAATAACAACTGAAGGAATAATCATTTTTTATTTTGGCAGAGCTTCCGCATAAGTAAACTGTAAAATGCTCTGTACTTATAACGTTGAATGTTGAGGTATTTATAGAGGAATGAATTTGGCAGTTGGCTTGAAGACTTGTAACGAAGCTTTCCTTAAAAATCTCCACAAATGTAGGAACGTGGGTAGTTGAGGAAGAAGTGGTGAACGTGGAGTTTGACTGGAGAGAAATATGGAGTTTGAAAACTCCTTCTGTTTTGCTTTGCCACGTTCTTCACTTTTCAAATAACTGATATATGCGTTACGTTCGTTACTGAGGCGTTACGAGCAGGTTTGGTGTTTCCCCGTGTTACGGTCGTGGCCAATGTGTTACGGTTGTAACACGCTTCATGATGGCTTACGGTCGTGGCATATGCGTTACGACCGTCACAGCTACAAAATCTGTAATTCTTGACAGATTTATCTTTTTCTTCTATTCTTTTGATGCTTTCTTGCATTGTTTCATGTTTTCTTCTGTTTTGAGATGAGTTATGAATACCTGCAAAAAGTAATGACAAACTCGAAATATTCGGGAGTTAATCGGGTCAAAATAATACAGAACGGGTAAATTTCATGGAAAATAAACGATACAATTTCGTGTTATCATTACTGATCCAGAAACCCAAGCTATTCCTCGAAGCAAAACATTCATCAGTATTCAATATCTTCATATTTAGTTCAGTGATGTCTCCTTTTCCAGAGTGAGTTATAGTCAGTTCCTTGGATTGTTCTAATTATGCTTCAGTAGAAAGGCTTATGTTGGATTGAGAATTCACTGATTCAGTGTTTGTGAATTCGCAAATTTCCTCCCTCAGAGCTTCAGCAGTTTGCACACAGGATGTTCCAACATTATCTCTGACATCCATATTTTATTTAGTAACTAAATCATCAAATATCACATAGAAAGCTTCCATTGTCATACACGTTCCAGAGTTAAATACTCTATAAGCTCTTATGTTTAAAGAGTACCCCCGAAATATTCCTTTATCACCTAAGTGATCCTTCTTGTCCACTTGATCTTTGTCAGTAAATATCTAGCATTTACTTACAAATATATAAAATTATTTAACTTTAGGTTTCCTTCCTTTCTAAACCTCATAGTGAGTAGCAGTGGTACCTCCTCTCAAAGTAACCCTGTTATGAATATAGCAAGCAGTATTTATAGCTTTTGCCCAAAACTCAAATGGAAATTTCTTAGCAATAAGCATGATTCTAGTTGATTCTTGTATCGCTCTAGTCTTTTCTTTAAAAATTCTGTCTCCCTTAGTTTTCCAAGAATAAGAGAACGCAAGGCTTATTCCTCCAGAATCACAAAATTCAGAGAATTCTACATTCTTAAACTCTTTATTATTGTCACTTAGGACTTTTATAATCCCACTCAGCTTCTCATCTTGAATGTTTTGACACACACTTTTGAAGACTTCAAAAGTATCTAATTTTTCTCTAATAAAGTTCATCCAAGTATATCCAGAGAAGTCATCTACAACCACGAAGACATACCTTTTTCCTCCTACGCTATCTATCTGTAATGGTCCCATTATATACATATGAATAAGTTCCAAAACTTTTCAAGTTATCTGATGTTCCAACATTGAGTGTGACATCATGATTTTCTTTCTATTTTCACACTAATCACAGACTTTTCCTTCTCCAGTCTTGAGCTCTGGAAAATCTCTTATGGATCCTTCAGATATGATTTCCTTCATTCTTTTGAAATGAAGATGTCCAAGCTTTTGTTGTCATAGCTTCACTCCATCCTTATTGATTGTTGAACATGTGGAAGAGTAAGCCATTATTTGAGATTCCCATAAATAGCAATTGTCTCTGGACCTAGCCCTTTTCATTAGAAAAACTTCTTTCTCATCTTTGACTAGACATTCTGATTTAGAGAAGTTAACTAATATACCTTGGTCACATAGTTCACAAACGATAATAAGATTAGCAGTTAATCCTTTGACAAATAACACATCTTCCAACCTGGGACAGCCATCATACATCAGTTTTCCAACTCCTTTGATTTCTCCGTTAAACCCATCACCAAATCTAACAGAACCTGTGGGATGTGGCTTGACATCCACCAACATCTTCTAGACCTCTGTCAATTGTCTAGACCATCCACTATCAAAGTATCAGTCTTCACTAGTTAAGTCTCTCAAAGAAGTATGTGTTATAAAGTTAACATCTCTATTTTCAACACTTCTCTTTTTGCTCATTGTATTAGTCTTCGAACGAACTCGAGTTCTTTGATCTCCATACAATTTGAAACATAAAAGCTTCATATGACCAGACTGACCATAGAAGTGACATCTCCAATTAGAATGAGGTTGATTTTAAGATTTATCACATTTTTCAGGATGTTGTAACATTAGTTTCGACATGTTGATCTTTTTCTTCTTTTCAGAAGGAAATAGCTTCTCATCAGTTACTCTTCTTAGTTTATTATCATATTGATAATGAACTCTGGAATTCTTTGTTTTGTGTTTGATCCTTAAACCATAATCTTTTAGAAAACAACCAATTTTAACCAAAAAACACAGATATTTCAAAAGGTTCCTATATAGTACTATAGATACATAGGGTACTAATACCTTCCCTTTGATTCTTGCTTTGCATGTTTATTTTGGGTTTTATTTCGCTCTTTTCCCATTCCCTTGGAAATAATAAAGCGTGGTGGAGACTTTCACTGTACAAGTCAAGTCAATCAATGGCTTGGTCTCAAATTTTCACCGCTACAGAAATGGCGACTTCACTTGGGATAGACCTCTAAGTGGATTAAGCCTAACTTGTTATATTTGTGTTTATGTTATTATTATTTGTTTTCTATTTCCTGTTTGTTGGCTTCTTTGATGATCTTTTGGAAGTTCTATACTCGGACTTAGGCAAACTTAAGATAGGATGGTGGTATAATCAAAACTTACATGACTGGATTAATCCTGACATAAGTAGCATATGATAACCCCTCTCAGTGGAGGCCTCTTTGAGGGTAATAATACTAAATAAGACAGTTGTTAAAGCATTATTATTTTCTACATGAGAGATTGAGAAGCTGAGGACCCTAGAACCCTTAACCCTTCTTGTCCTTTAGGATGTAGTGCGGTGACAATTCAAGAGTAGTATTGAATTAGTCGTTACATTATACTACACTTAATCGAGTTTTTCTTGAGAATATCATTGGTACTCACAAGTAGCTGTGTAAATTAGTAATATCCGAAAGAGGAATCACAATTCTGAGAACTTTTATAACCTTGTTCTACAAGTATAATTGTTATATCTCAAATTTGTCCTACCCTTTTCATTCAAATCATTTGGCTTATGCATCATCATGTACATATCTCTCATTTAGGACATCTAACATAAATGCATCATTAATCAATAAATTTAGCATGGGATCAAAGGTGTTGAAGAATTAGGGTTTCTTTATGACTTTGAGGCTATTATCTTCATTCAAAGGATTCAAATTGTTTCTTCAACAATCATGACTTCATTTGGTTTGTATCAATTTAAGGTTAGTTTTCTCTAAGTTACTTGGGTTCCAAGTTGTCACCTTGGGTTTTTTGCAAAGATTAGAGGCATGGTGGAATTAGAGCATCATTTCAAGGTTTAAAGGTCTTGACCAAAGTCTTTTTTAAAACTTTTTGAGCTTTCATCTTTTCATCATTGGTATTCATATAAGTGTTGCAAAAATTAAAGAAAAGTTGGAAAATTCAAAAGAAGCATATGGAGGGAAAATGAATTTCAATCTCATTTGAAAAAAAAAAGAGACTTTGTTCATCAACTCTTCAAAATTACAACAATTCAAGAACCATTAAGTCATTACTATTGCCATCTCAAAGAAAGCATCAAATCTCATTACAAAAGAAACCATTAAAATTTGAATCCAAAATGAAAAGAAACAAAAAAAATACAACTTTGACCAAAGTTGATAATGACTCCTAAGCCTACCCTAAGCCCATATTTTCCAGGACAACTTCAATCTTGCCTCTATCCTCATAGCCAAACTTAAGTAAGCCTTATAACTTGTTTCTTCTTCATTACTAAGTTGATTCCATGATGTCTCCATAAGTCATCCAAGTTACCGAAGAGTTCCATTCCTAAGCTCCAAGTTATCCCATCTGCTAAACTCACCAATGCTTTGCCATTACCACACATTGCCTAAAGAACAAGAGAGGAGTTTAGCAACAATTGTGTCCAAATGGCCAATACATGTATACACTATGTAACTCACATTAAAAATATACATGCAATTTCAAATCAAACTTAGGACACCAGCCTTCAAAATAACGAGCAGACTATGCCATAATAGAAATATAAAACCCACTAACCTGTTAACCAAATCACCATAAACCAGTTCAGCATCATTCATCCAAACACATCATATAACCAAAGTGTCAAAAATAGTCCCACATAGTAGTGCAATACATAAATGAATCATTTTGAACCTTTGTAACCCAATTAAGTCAGATTAGCATTGAAAATCACCATGGCCAGTACTGTCAATTTGGAAGATGTCATTGTACCGGGTATTCCCGTTTTTGAAGAGATCGCCATGAACATCATCACTTATGGCCCCTCTAATATCAAGTTCCGCGAAACTGATGCTTCTCTCACAAAGTTCAACCTGGAAAGCAACAACGCTTTGGATTACAAATTAAAATCCAACATCACAGCAAGAAATTCCTACAAGAGTGTTGAAGTATACTACAAGAGGGTCACTGTAATTGCATGGTACAAAGATCTTGAAAGGAATAACAGTGACTGAGTAACACAAACGACCTTCCTTCCAACTTGGAAAATCAATAATTATCAGTCCATGTTGCATCTCGAAACAGACTAATGCAAGCTCAACTCAAACATGCCGAAGCAGCTATAGATCCAAGGGCTCAAATGCTCCCATCTCCAACTGATTTCTCCATCACCAACTACCTATATAAACATAATCACTCTCTCAGATAGGGTTCTACACGCCATTTCCCACCATTCACCATGCTCTCTCTCTCTCTCTCTCTCTCTCTCTCTCTCTCTCTCTCTCTCTCTCTCTCTCTCTCTCTCTCTCTCTCTCTCTCTCTCTCTCTCTCTCTCTCTCTCTCTCTCTCTCTCTCTCTCCCCCCGCAACTTCACTACATCACCATCTTCGTCTCTCCGCAAGCTTCATTCTCTGAGCTTCAAACACTCCCGCTCTCGGATAAGCATTAACTCAGAAGCGCCACAACATCCCGCTCTCGGATAAGCATTAACTCAGAAGCGCCACAACAATCCTACACAGAAAAAGAAAAAGAGGAAGAAGATTGAGTAGGATCGCAGAGCAAAGGATCGAATACTTATTACTTGGTCTTCCAATTGCTCCCCTGGTTTTCTTGCGACACCGACGCCATTGAAGATTCACCGAAACTGCTTCGGTAGGTAATCCGTTAAGACTTCACTTCTTTTCACCTTCTTGCATCTGTGTTCACACCATGCGAACGCTTACGATACACTGAATGATAATACTAAGGTCTCGTGGCCATATCTAGCATCATACGTGCTTTTGGCCGCTACAACCGCCGCTGTAAGGTGTGTCGGCGCGTTGGCGCTTCACATGAGCAAAGTGAGCCAGAGGATACGTTGAGAGAGACGGGGAGAATCTGAACAAATGGAGACTTGAAACGTCGCTTATCCCCCTATCAAAACGCCATCGTTCTCATTTTTAAATTTAATTCATTTCTATTTTAATTAATATAATCTGAAAATAATTGAGACAAAATTTGAAATGGATGTGTTATTGGATTGAATTTCTTGTCTCCTTGAGCCATCAGTGTATACACCTCCTTGTTGGCCCGTATACCACTTTTTTGGACATGCTGAAAGTTTAGTGCAACAAAAATAATTTCTGGACCCTGTTTGCAAAGCCCAAGCATTTATGGAGTGTGTCTAAATCTCTTGTGGTCCATACTCCCAGCCTATTCCTGTATCCCCTGACTTCTCCAAGCATTTCTGGAGTGTGTCTAGATATCTTGATTAAATTGAATTAACTAGACTTTATGATTTTAAAATCATGCATGCTAACATTAGATAAACTTTTCTCATTATTAATTCTAATTCTAGGATCACCATTGTATGATAACATTAGGAATAGAATTTTCCTTAGATTTTTCTTCCTTTTGCATCCATCTAAAACTAAAACTCTTTTCATCTCAAAAAATTCAAAATACTAAATAAATATGTGAATCATATGCACTTGAGTCTTATGGAGAAGAGTGAGGTGGTACATTCCTAACTTTGCTCTTCTTCAATTTTCAGACTTTATTATGATTCAATTCGCAAACTCTTTCACAAATAAGCGGAGAAGTAGTTGTTGTCCCTCCATCGGGATTAACTGGCTATCATCTCAACAAAACATAAACAAATCAAATGTGGCACATTACCTTGAGGGCGTAACTCAAAACCGTTTCTAAAGAGTTCGTCTCCCATAAAAAAACACATTAAACCAACATTTTTTAGCCGAACTACGACACTCTGATTCCTTAAAAGGGATACGTAGGCATTAGGTTGCAGGGTCTAAGCGAGCACAACTATTTAAAACCTTTGTTTTCCCTGTATTTTTATTTTTCATACATGCATTCCTTTAGCAAGTAAGCTTTAGATATAACACAACCTTTGATTAGAACAACAAGAGTGGATCCCGTGGAGTACCACAGACGTGAGGGGTGCTAATATCTTCCCCCGTGTAATCGACTTATGTACCCTTTCTCTTGGTCGCAAGACCATCTTATCCTTCTTTTTAGGGTTTTCTCAATAGTTTCCCTTTCTTTAGGATAAATAAAGTTCAGTGGCGACTCTGTGTTTTTTTGCGGCGCGACAATAATAAACCCTTAGTACACACATTGTAGGTGGTTCTTATCCGTGACTCCATGCTCGTGACGTTAAATCTTTGAATCTTGTTTGGGTTTGTTGCATAACCATGCATTATGTAACACCCCCTAAATCCAACAGAAATAATATGGCATAATCAAAGTAAATTAGCATGCATATCAAAAGAGGGTGTCACATGTATTTCACGAAACTCAAGAAAACACAGGTCATACTCATAACACACATTTAAAATCATATTTCATATACCAACACATATGCATCTCACAGCGGAATGATTATTTTTCATAACGATAATAATGATTGAAATCACATACTGACAATCATATCATAAAATATTAGGCACTAAAGACCACTCATCATATAGTCTCCATACATCATAAATAAAAGAGAGTGTTATAAACATCTCTCAATCAACATGAATATAACAAAATAACATGAATCCAAACGTTTCTCGTGTTACATAGACTAGAGAATGACTCACTACCTAGTAAAATGGCTAAATAAAGGACTAGATCCTCCAACTACTTCTTGCTAGAAGAACCACCGCTATCATCGGTACCTGAGCGATGTCGTATAAAACATCATTCCAATAAAAGGGTGAGAATTCATATCATTATGGAAATATATAATAATAGTAATGCAACACATACAAGCATCAATTGAATTCATCACACTTCACATAATCATGTATTTAATATACTTCAAACCAATTCACATTGTGATACAATGGGAGAACTGACTAGGGTTTTGCGTTTGTTTTTGCAAATGTTTCGGTTGAGCAAGAGTCGCCACCGACTTTTTATTTTATCCTAAGGAAAGGTTTAAAAAGCACAGCAAAAACCTTTGAGATATTTTCTTGGGTTCGGGGAGTAGATTATAGAAAGGGAAGGTATTAGCACCCTTTCTATCCATGGTTATCCATGGGCTCTTAGGTACTTGCTTAGATCAACTTGCCTTGGTTTTCAATTGTTTGAAATGGTGCTTTGTGTGTGGCTTTGAAAAGGCTTTGAAAAAGATGCCTTGTCTAGGCTACCCTTGTAACAATTCTTTACTCGAATGTTTTACAAAAGGTGTTTGTCTTTTTGAAAAGATGTTTCAAGGTTTTTTTTGAAAGTTTGTTTTGAAAGTGTTTGTGAAGTGTGTTTTGAAAAATAGGCAAGTGTTTTTGCAAGTTGACAAGTACTTAAGAGCTATCTACCCTAAAGTTCTCAAAGATTTTTGTTATGCTTTAACCCTTTTAACAATTTTGTTCCACCATTGTATTTGGTGGACAATCTTGTGTTAGGATGTGAAAGGGACGGGCGCGAGTCATCGTTTAGACCATAATTGCAATGGTGCCAAGTATCTTTGGGCAATTTCCTTTAAGGGATTTGATCATTTTTAGGCAACTTTTCGAAAGCGTCGTCGAGGGACTATGATCATTTGATTGTTTGTTTTGCTTTTGCCCAAAGAGACCTAACATGCAATATGGCCTATTTATTGAAGGCAACAAGTGGAATACCCTAGGGGTGCAAGTGTGATTGGTATTGTCTATTTTCATGCTTGATTATTTTGAATTTAGGTCAAACTATTTTGTTGTTTTTATTTGCATACAATCCCTAATTCTAACATGGTATAATTAGAAAGCATTAAAGTGCGAAATTTAAAGTTCCTAAGCTATTACAACATAATATGGGAAGGGGGGTACAAATGTTCAAATGGGGGATATTTGACAAAGAATTTAAACCTAGCTATTACATCAATTTGGAATTATTTACAAGATATTTAATTGCACAAATTAAATAAAAAATAAAACAAATATGCAAGATGCAAAAAGGGTTTTTATATGTATGGAAAAAGTATTTTTATATGTCAAAATAAAATAAAATGAAAAGTATTATTTTTTTGAGTATTTTCCATGTTTTTAGGGCAAAACCCTAATTTATTAGGTAAATATATTAATTATTTAATATGTACAAACATTTATCAATTATATACAAAAATAAAATAAAAATGAAGTATATTTGTCAAAAAGGTATTTTTTATATTAAATATTAATAAAAAATAAAAGTGTGTATATTTTGTATTTTAACCTAAATATACTAATATATATATATATATAAATATTTGTATTATTTACTAAATATATATTATATATACAAAAATAATAATATTTAATATTTATAAAAAAAGTATATTTTATATAAAATATTTTCAGAAGATAAAATAAAATAAAAATGGAAAATAAAATGTGTTTGCACTATTTTAACATTTTTTTAAATAAAAGTATATCTATTTGTTTATTTATGTACAAATAACCATCTAAACAAATAAATGCCTAATAAATTCAAAAATGGTTTAAAAAATTATTTTTATATTTTTAATATCATGAGAAAAAATAAATAAGTCAGAATAAAAAAGAAAAGTAAAAAAAAATCATGAAAATAAGCAAAATGGGCCTAGGGGGTGTCAAAGTAACAAAAGGGTGTAAAAAGAAATAAGAAACAAAGCCCAGCCCACGTGGAGCTTCTTCAACCTCCAGCATTTCTGTTTGAACAAAAACACGCGCCTCTTTTCTTCCATTGCAAGGTCCTGATTCTTTGAGTTTTAGCAAAAACTTACAACACCAAAAATGTTAAGCATCCTCTCACGAGTTCACACATATAAAGAACATGATTTAACTCTCAGAAATGAGAGAGAATTTCTTCTCCCCCAATTCTTAACCTAATTTTTATTCCAAGTTCAGACATCAAATTCTCTAAGCATACATAATATAAATGAAATCTAATCACATGGGCATGTTCAGGGCTATGAATGTGACATGTTTTCTTCACAAACCTAAAGCTAACAATGCCTGGATAGAGAGATACGTGTTCATGAACTTACCTGTTCAGTTGAAGTTGTATCTGGTGATGGAGGTGTCCTCAATGC